AGTTACTGTTGAAAACCATTACATTTTAAATAAAACAGTGGCATAGCCTGGTTAGTGGTCCTGTTTTCCTTTAAGATAGGAGAATATTGTCTCAGATATTCATCACTGACTATCAGTAGAAGAGCAATGCGGGTTAGATCCTGAAATGAGAAAAGTTGCATCAAGGATTAATTGGCTCCTGCTTTGTCTTTTCCAAATGCAAATGGTATTTTTTCAGTTTTCTTCTTGCATAATAAACCAACTGATATTCTCTCTTAGGAGCACCCCTTACTTGGGCAGCCGTTTTTCGTTCTGCACCCCTGCCGAACTAATGAATTCATGTCTTCTGTACTGACCAGTTCACAGAAGCAGGACAGGTGAGAAACAGTACTGTGCCTTGCAAGGCTTTATGCAATGCAGATAAAGTAAATCAGCCAGGAGGTGGAAATGGTCAAAACAACTTCCTTGGTATAAATGGAATAAGATTCTGGATTGTCACCTAAGGGCTGAAAGTTAAAATACATGTGGTATAGATAAAGTGAAAGAATAGCCCCATCTGAACGTATTTTATGACTGTCAAGTGCATCTGCAATTCTGAAAAAGTTGGGATAATGTGTTTATGGTGCTTTTTTGTTGCTTTTTTTTTTCCCCTAGACACACAAATTACATTATATTGTGGCTCAGTACTGTAGGCCCAGTTGTGGGTCTGAATCTGCCCCTGAGTTACGCAAAACTAGCACCTGAGCAGAATACAAATGCTGATTCAGTTGAAAGGTAAGAGAAAATGAAATCAACTTTTTTCTCTCCCATCCTTCTATGAAATTAAAAAGATCAGATGGATAGCTGGCAAAAACATTATCTTCTCCTTTGGAGCTCTTGGTTCAGTTCATTTAGGACTCACCTTTCGATATTTTGCTTACATGGCTGCCTTATTACCTTACTTTGTAATGAAAATGTATGCTGAGAGATGCGCTTGACACATTGCTGACACCTTACATGATTGTCAGAATGTTCCTGATGTCCTGGGGTCTTTCTCAAGTGTGTAAAAGCATTTTATGGTGCTTTCTCTGGCACATGGTTGGTGGTGTGATGTAGAATAACTCTGCTACAATGATTTTAATTTCATCTCTTCTTTTTTTTCTGTTTGGTATCTCCTCTTAAGACCTCTGAGCTGAAGGACAGATGATGATTAGTTGTAGTAAAGCTACTGCAGACTTTCCTAAGGATGAACTCAAACAAAAGAATCTTTCCTGACTGGTAAGCACTGCAGCGTGGAAAGATGACTCTTCATGACTGTCTCTTCGGCAAGAACTCGCATGGTTACACCGGAAGACCTAAGAGTTGGCTACAGTTGTGACAACATGTCTCAGGCACCACCAAGAGACCTGAACTCCCTTGTGATTGCATTGACCCCTTGAGGTTGCTCATTTCCTACCTTTGTTTTACTGTGGTTGTTGCCTTAGTAGCACTGCATGCAAATGCAGAAGCCTGTGGTTCCTTGATACAGACTTGAGATGCTGGGTTTGGGTCTACTAGACTTATCTGCTAGAAATCACATCTCTAGAAAATTTGCATCACCTGTGAGGACATGTAAATCAAAATACTTGTAGGGTATGGCTTAAGCTTGTGGCAATCCGTGTATGGGTTGAGACAACTACGCCTAGGGACCACTTTCTCCACCACAGCCTGATGCGTGGACCATGCTTGTGTTCCACACCCACAGAGAATATCCCAATCTAACAACTTAATAATACTTTGCTGAGAATATTTTGTGTATGTCGTGCTTCAGGGAACAGACAGTATCAGGATTGTAGACAGAGTATTCACAGTCCTGAGGGAACTGGCAGATAAAGTTGCCAAGGCACTATTGATCATGTTTGAGAAGTTGTGGCAGTCCAGTGAAGTTCTCACAGACTGGAAAAGGAGAAACATAGCCTCCATTTTTAGAAAGGTTGAAAAAGAGCTGAGAACTACAGGCTGGTCAGTCTCACCTCTGTGCCTGGCAGGATCATGGTGCAGATCCTCCTGGAAACTATGCTAAGGCACATGGAAAAAAAGGAGGTGATCGGTGACAGCCAACATGACTACACTAAGGGTCAGTCATGCCTGACACATTTGTTGATCTTCTACGATGGGATACAGCGTTGGTGGAGAAGGGAAGAGCAACTGACATCATCTACCTGGACTTTTGCAAAGCACTCGACACTGACCGGCACGATGTCCTTGTCTCTGACTTGGAGAGACATGGACTTGATGGATGGACCACACAGTGCATAAGGAATTGGCTTACTCGGGGCTTAATTCGGGGCTACTCTCCTAGCATGCCTCTGTATCAGCCTGGGTTTTTAAATTTAGGAATTAATGCCACAGCTATTTGACAGGGCAGTTTTGCAGCTATGAACTTCAGATACAATTTTTTTTTATTCTAGGTGGTAAGAACTTATTGCTAAGAAATGCTCTAAACTCTTTGAAACACTTTGAAAGCCTACATGTTACTAAAAATATGCACAGATATTCATACATACACTGTTCTCTAGAAGAGAGTATTTTGGAGGAAATAGTTGTAAGTTCACAGTTCAGAGGAAAGAGCAAATGTTTTTCCGTTGTGCTACAACTGAAACTTTCTGCAATATAAATACAGATGTCCAAACAAACTCATTAAACCATAGTCATAGCAAATGGCAAAAAAACCAACCAAAACAAAACAAAAGTTACTTAAAAAGTTTTGCTGGAATTCATGGAGTGGCAACAAGAATTGATACCGACTACTTCACTTTTTTCAGCTCTAACTAACTAGCTCAACATTTACTGTTGTGAAAACAAGCATGCAATTTGGCCAAAGGAATGTTTCTTTTAGTAACCAAAACCAACCAACTACGAACCTTCTGGCATACCAGATGGGGGTTAAATTCTAACCTGATCATGCTGGCACAAATGAGGGATTACGTAGGTAGCAATTTCATTGCAAAGAAAAGCATATTTTTGGCTTAGTTGAACATAAAAAATTCATTCTTCTTGCTGATTCTTGTTACCAAGGGCAGGTATGAGTCAGTTCTCTTAAAAAGAAGTCCCCAGAAGCAATGGTCCTCAATATGTCTTCCCAGGTTAACAAGGATGAACAACTGAGCAAATTTACAAAACTGTTTGGAACTGGAAATTTTCTTTTTGGTAAGCTGCAAGATTTCAGATAATGTATGTAGCCAAAACCCAAGTTCAATAGATTCACTGAATAAAATTACAAAATAGTGCTGCAATTAACTTGATTTTGAAATAAAATAGGATTTTTGTACATAAACATTCTGTGTAAAATATCCTCTTAAGTCTTTAAGGCACAGATGTAAATGGGAAATTAGATGCCTACCTCCCACTTAAGCCATTAGAAAGTAGATATCTAAACAGGATTATATCTCTCCTTGATCCCAAATATTTATGTTATCCTTTATTTGTTTCTCAATCTAAGCTTAATGTGTTTGTACTAACTGAGCTGAATTTTTGTCTAGTGGTATTCTGGACAACTTTCAGGGAAACATTGACGCTGATGATGACACTGCTCTGTTATTTCACTGTGCATGGTGTTAAATGGTTAAGGATTGTAGCAGGGCAGGGGAACTGTCAGGTTGTTCATCCGTTTCATGCTCCCTATCATTATAATCGTGTCTCAGTAACTGTGGGAACAAGGTCAAGGCACTGAAGAGGAACATGGAGGGGCGTTATCAGCAG